AAACTTGAAGCCATTAGAGAATAAGAGACTTACAATTATTGGGCAACCTTCTTCAGGAACAGGGCATGGCCTAGCATGTTGGATGACCCCCAGCTCTGCTGAGTGCTATCCTGTTGTGCTTGACAAGACTGAGACCAAACAGGTTTCTCTACAAAAACCTGGGTCAAAACCCAGGAAACCAGGAAGTCAGACAATCTTGAGGATGACCCATGGCCATGCAGGGTCATCACCATGTCCATCACCTACCTAGATGAGGATCATCCCTACCAACCCACTGTCAGCCTCAGGGACCAACCTCAGCATCCACACCTCCTCCCTACCTGGGTTCTATGCAAAAGAATCACAGGAGGGCTACCTGTCCCTAGAGATGATGTTCCTCGTCTTCCTGAGACCTCTAGGACTTCTGCTCGTCAGAATAGAATGAACCCTCATGGGCCACCACCAGACATCTCTACTCTGCCTTAGCCATTGGCTTAGTGGGCAGTTTTGAACACATCCGTGGAATTCTATAATACACATCTGTTGACCCATTGGCCCCATGAGACACAGGGACAGTTTGTGAATGTTAAGTTGGAAATTCCAAATTCGTGGCCCAGAACTTCAGATAAAACAAAACAAATGAGGGCTGGAGAGATGGTTCAGCGGTTAAGAGCATTGCCTGCTCTTCCAAGGTCCTGAGTTCAATTCCCAGCAACCACATGGTGGCTCACAACCATCTGTAATGAGGTCTGGTGCCCTCTACTGGCCTTCAGGCATACACGCAGACAGAATATTGTATACATAATAAATAAATATTAAAAAAACAAATGAATAAATAATAAATGAATAAAGGGTTTCCACTGGGGAAACATGGAGCGGAAAAAAAGTAGACATGGGTGTGCACAAATAAGCTTCCATGTGCTAAAGTGGGTTCACACTGCCAGATGCCAAGGACCCCAGGCTGGCTCCTAAGCTCTGTCAGTACCTGGGCAGACAAAGGACCCAGAACTGGCAGTAAACATGCATTATACTTTTTGCCCTGTGTGATGCCTCCTCACCCACAGGCACATCCTAGCCACGCTCAGAAGGGAGATTCATCAGAGTGGCCTTCCTGGTGCCACCACCCTGTCCCGAGCCCTGCAGCTATGGGCTGGATATCAGCATCCAGGGCTGGCCTTCTGTGTCACTACTAGAAGTATGAAGCTGATCACAGGTCCTCTCTTTGCAAGAGGCAGGACCATGGGTGGACACTGCACCTGGGCTGCTAGCCAGCAATTTTCAGCTTCAGAATGTTGTTTCCAAAACAGCAGGCACAGGTCCTGCTTTCTCCATTTGGCCTAACATTATCTTCTGCCCAAGCGCTTGTTAGTGAAATGCCTCCTGCAGGGTCATCCCAGACCCTCCATCACGTAAAGGGCTGTCTTTTGTGGATCTCTGATAGTGACCCATCTTCTTTGGGTGTACAGTTGGTGCCTGCTATGTACCACGTCATTCCTCACTCAGAGAATATCTATGAAAGGTTGTTTGCTGTGGCATGGAGTGTTTGTTTAACTGTATAAAATGTGTTGCATTTGTTTGCTTTGCAGAATAATTGTTTAACTATGTAAAGATGTGTTATATTTGTTTGCTCTGCATTTGTTTAATTTTGTAAAGGTGTGTTGCTGTTTTACCTTGTCTGCCTAAGGCACCTGATTGGTCTAATAAAGAGCAGAATGGTCAATAGCTAGGAAGAAGAGGGATGCGTGGGGCTGGCAGACAGAGAAGAAAGGGGAGCCAGTGAGCCAGCCAGCAGGGTGGGGGTGGGGTGACCAGCCAACCACACACAGAGGAAGCAGGAAAGCAGGCTGGGCAGTATGTGGATGAGGTAAACAAGCCCTGGGACAGCACACAGATGAACAGAAATGGGTTAATTTAAGTTAAAATTTTTAAAAAGCTAGCTAGAAACAAGCCTAAGCTAAGGCTGATGTAGTAATAAGAGCGGCGGGCCTGCGTCCCCAACACCCCAGCCACCTGCTCGGCTAGCTTATGCCCGAAATAAGCTACTGTATTGTGTATTGTGTGTAAACAACACACAAACTGTATTCATTTAAATCACTGCTTGGCCCATTTCTATCTAGCCTCTTCTAAGCTAATTCTCACATATTAATTTAGCCCATTTCTAATCATCTGTGTTGCGCCCCTAGGTGCGCTTACCGGGAAGATTCTAGCCTATGTCCATCCTGGGTCAGAGCTTCATAGCGTGCGTCTGCCCAGGAGCCAGGAGCATGGCGTCTCTCTCAGGCGTCTGCTCCCGAGAGCAGAGCTGTCGAGTCTGAGCTCACTTCCTCTTCCTCCCAGCGTTCTGTTCTGTTTACTCCTCCCACCTATCCTCTAACCAATAAAATGGGCCAAGGCAGTTCCTTTATTAGCCAATGACCTTCCTCCATCAGGCTGAGCATTCATACGTAATAATAAGTCTCTGTGTCATGATTTGGGGACTGGTGGTCCAAGAAAACCTGCTACAGTCATTGTTAGCTGGGAAAATAAAATACGAAGTCTGAACTAAGCCGGACATGAAGACTCATGCCTTTAATCCCAGCCCTCAGTAGACAGAGATGGGTGTCTTGAGTTGGAGACCACCCTGGTCTACACAGCAAGACTATTGTCTCAAAGAGAAACCTAGCTGAGGGTCTGCCCATCTTGTTCCCACAGAAGGCCTACGTGTTTGATCTGCCCCACATTTTCCTGCCTGTGGTCTTTCTTATGCTGCTCCCAGCATCTCATTTTGAGATGCGTATATCTGTTTCTCTACATGATGGGACTCTGGTAGTGAGCTCTAATTTCTCCCCACTTCTATCTCTTGCCATTTTTTTCCTGACTGGTTAATTTTAATTCCAGAACATACTGCTCCTTGTCTAATTGTATCCTTTCCACAATTTGGTACAAGAAGCCAGATTCTCTTCCCGTAACAGCTGGTGATGACACATTCCTGTTCTAAATGACTCCCAGGATGTGTGACTCATTTTTAAATTCCACTTTATGATGAGGCAAAATTAATAGGAGACCGGTAAATGGAACAATCCCATTTTTCCTTAACCACCCCCCAGTTGCTATAGAGACGTCACCTGGTGAGTCCAATGGTCCCTGAGCATGCTTGTCTCTCACAGGTGCAGCTTGCAGGTGTACCTCATGGAGCGCTTCTCGCAGATCTGTCTCACAAGGGCATCTCACAGGAGCTTCCTACCGGCTCCCTCACAGTTATGCATCACAAAGATGTGCTACAGATGTTTCCAGGTGTGCCCCACAGGTCTATGTTTATGAGTTTGTTGAGTCCACCCCAATCAAAGACCCCAAGGCACTTCTAGTAGTTGTTTAAGAATGTGAGGGGGACTGAGACTATCAGTACAGTGCATTGCCTTGAGACATTTATACAGAGTTCTTATCAACATGAACTTAGGGCTCCTCTGGGGATTGCTGAGTTCTGGACACCCCTAAGCCAGTATGCCTACAGGCTCCATGTTGGATGCATTAGGGTCAGAGTGAATGAACTCTGAGCTAAACTTGTCCTGTGACCTCTGCCCCTGCCTGTAGTTTCCCCTGTGGTTTGCAAACCTGTATGACTTCCTCGTGATGTTGCAACAGGATGATGGGTCTCCAAGTGGAACAAGGTGACATTGTGGACATTTCTGTCTCATCCAGCCACGATAACATGCCGTGCCTCTTCCAAGCCATTCCAGGACCAAGCCAAGCAGGTGACCTGCCGCCCTGAGTCTAAACCTCAGCACTACAGCATTTGCCCACACACCTGTCCCTGTCCCAAAGTTCTTCCCCTGAGTCCCCAGTCAGAACGCACTATTTTTAGGGAAAGAGAGAGACCTACAAGCAGATTCCTGAAAGGAAACTGTACATGACTCAGCAGAGGCAAGAATTTGTGGGTGCAGGGCCCCATTACGTTTAGCTAAGCCCAGTGTACACACACAGCTGTGCAGTTAGTCAACCTCCCTTGCCTGGGAAACTGCAGGTGCCAGCACAAAGCCAGAGTTCTATGCTGAGAAATCATTAAACACGTGTACACCAAACATACACCTTGTTAGATGATAAGAAAAGTCAAAATTACAAGCAAACCCTTTCCTGGTGGAAAGTTTAGTGATACATGGAAGAGGCAAAATGAAGGCACTCGGGAGTAGTCCCCAGAGTGTTATTTCTGCTCTCACCCGGAACAAGGCCCAGAGTTCTTGCAATTAATGCATCCTGCATTCTCATCTTTGAGGTCAGGTTGGATGCTCTAGGCCAGCTCACACAATGGGCAGAGTCCTGCATCTTTGGACATCCCTCTGCCCATCAGCATCACATGTTCTCATGCCCAGGTATGCACACCTGTGTAAGGCACCCACGGACTCTGAAATACTCTTAGTGCTTAGCGCACGAGGCTGGCCAACAGCAGAGCATCTGGAAACCAGAACTGAATTTCTGAGAAATTCTTTTTATCATCTCCATGACTAACTACACCAACACCAGGAGATCTACTGACAACTGAATGCACTCACCCTCCCCTGATACACAGGTTTTCCGGTCCATAAAACAGTGCTTACAATGTAGCAGTGAGTGGATAACAGGGCAAGAATCTAGCAACACAAACAAATATGCCTGAAAACTAAGCTTCTAAATTCAGGAAAGTAGAAAACACTTTCACCCATCTAGCTCACACAACACTCTGGGTAATTCTACTATATTGCATAAACTTTATGAACCCTGAGTTCAGGGAGGAGGTAGTCCAGAATCAAGACAGAGTTTCTGGAGAGGACATGTGCGCCCAGGGGCCTGTTGACCGGTGACATCGAAAAGGAAAGTCCTGAATTTATAGACGGCAGCTGTTCAGCTTGAGCCCTCCTGCCTGTGGCAGCCACATGGATACAGAGTGATGTTACGTCAAATCTGTGTCCTCCATAGCAGGTACAGACCAAGAAAAGAAATGAGAGCTACTTCTAACAAAGGATTCTGGGGACAGTTGCCTGAAATCCATGTATCTATCTTTCTTCCAGGCATGGACCCCTCCTTGCCCTCTCTGCCTCAGAAGTCAACTGCAACGCTGGAAAGCCATTGCTCATCCCCCCACCCCCACCCCACGGCAGGGTACCTGAGCTTAGGAGGAGCAAGGACGTCCAGTTGGACCAACCCAAACCCTTCCGCAGCTCCTCAAGCAAAGAGGATCATATTCTGTGTTTGTGAAATTATCTAGTTTGGGACCTGTTTCCCCAGAAGTGAGTTGTCTTCCCTTTACAGCGCCTAATTTCTGAAACAGACAGGAAGCCCTGCCCCTAGTTTTATCCAAAATCCCAATTTTAAATATCCAGTTTTTGCACGGGAACTGTGACTGCTGAACCTCTGAGAAGAGTGAGGACGGGCCGCCTATGAGTCAGCCGTCTCCCCTGGGCTCTCTAATCATCACTAAGAAAGACTTTGCTGACATCAGTGTTTGCAGATCCATGCGGACCTGGGAGTGGTGAAAGCCCTGGGACAGCAGTAGGGGCACCATGAGCCTCAGTGAGGACCAGGTACGTAGCTTCCTAGATGGGAACCCCGCTTTTGCCCACCAATACTTTGGGAAGAAGCTGAGCCCTGAAAATGTGGCAGCGGCCTGTGAAGATGACTCGCTGGTGGACTGCAGCAGCCTGCGGGAGCTGTGCCAGGTGGAAGAGAGTACAGCACTGTTTGAACTGGTGCAGGACATGCAAGAGAATGTCAATATGGAGCGTGTCGTCTTCAAGGTCCTGCGACGCCTCTGCACCATCCTGCATGCTGACCGCTGCAGCCTCTTTATGTACCGCCAGCGCAATGGCGTAGCCGAACTTGCCACACGGCTCTTCAGTGTGCAGTCAGATAGCCTCCTGGAGGACTGCCTGGTGCCCCCTGACTCTGAGATCGTATTCCCATTGGACATTGGGATTGTGGGCCATGTGGCTCAGACCAAGAAGATGGTGAACGTGCAGGATGTGGCAGAGGTGGGTGTTCTCCAGCCAGGGTGCAGACGCATGCTCTGCCTCAGCATCCAGAGATTTCTCGAGGACTTCAGGTCCAGAGCCAAGGTTCTCGAGGCTCACCCTTCCATGCCCCATCTGGTCACAGTGCCTAGCCTCCTGTCTTTCCCTTCCAGGACCTAGTTTTTCACATCCCCAGTTTAAAGAAAAAAAAAAAGGAACTCAAAGAGAGCTTTAAAAGGTTTCCCCTCCCCTTCTGGGTGTGGAACATTCACACAGCTACTAATTGTCTCAGAAATACTATTTAAGAGACGTTCTTTTTTTTTTTAAATTTATTTATTTATTAAGGATTTCTGCCTCGTCCCCACAACCGCTTCCCATTTCCCTCCCCCTCCCCCGATCAAGTCCCCCTCCCTCATCTGCTCGAAGAGCAATCAGGGTTCCCTGACCTGTGGGAAGCCCAAGGACTGCCCACCTCTATCCAGGTCTCGTAAGGTGAGCATTCAAACTGCCTAGGCTCCCACAAAGCCATTAAGAGACGTTCTTGTGGAGGCTTCTCAGACGCAGTCTCTGGCCTTGCCAAGGCTTCTGTATCTGGGGGTCCAAAGTCAGGCCTCTATGCATGGTAAGCATGGTGAGGACCGAGGGTAGCCTCATTGATCATCAGGGGTGAAGAGTCTTCCCTGGAGGACTATAGTTGTCTGCATGGGTCTCTGAATGGGTCAGACTAGGGCTGGTATAGAAACTAACATCCAATCATGGCAGAAGCAGCTTCACCCACAAAGGGAGGGACCACACTGGTCCTGGAGGCAGAGATCTGGGGTCCAGGAGAGGGTGGGAATGGAGCTATAGGAGATTCCCAGGCTGGAATGGAAACGGTCTTATTGACAGGGTCTTCATGGAGGCTGCTGGCCTGTGGCAGGTATAACCAGGACAGAGCTCCTATAGGTGGATCTGGGATGCTGAGTGAGGTGCCCACTAGATAATAGCATGACAACTGCAGGGAGGGCTCAGAGAAGGGCCAAAAAGTAAATTCCAGGGATTAGGGAGCTTCACGGAAGGGTTGGGGGACAGATTCCCTCTCCCTGCCTGTTCCCCTCGTGGTTTTCTCCCTTTCTTCCTCAAGGGACCCAGGAAACCCCAGCACCTGCTGCACAGGTCAACCACACCTAGTTTGGAATCCCAGAGCGGGGGAAGGTCCCCTCCAAGACCGATCCCCAGGGACAGGCACTACCCTCACTCCCCGCCATGGAAGGCTGGGCAGGAAGGTGTTGCAATCCTCTTACGTTTATCTTTTATAAACAGGCAGCCACCAGCGACCTGAATCTGCGGGATTATCTTGGTCTTCACTTTGCTTTCTTTTAAAGAAATGGGTCATCCATGAGCTGAATAGAGCATGAACTACCAACAAAGCAAGAAATTTGGTGTATAGGGCTGGGATAGGATATTGATATTCTAGGGCTTATTATCTACCCCTCCCTCCTCATGTCTCACCTTTCCCTGCCTCTGTCCACTTTTCCTCCTTCATTCTTGCATTCATCCCCATCTCCCATCTCCTTCCTCTGTCCTCCCACTTCAGCATTGCTCCCATAGAGCCCGGAGTCCGGCACAGGCTCCTTCCTTCCTACTGCCCCCATCCACCTCAGAGGAATGGTGTTGCTCTGTGGGTCAGTTCAAGTTTCAGGGCTGTCCTAAATCCTATACCCACACTACCCATGTCCTACAGCCCCTCTCCAGTGTTTCTGGTCACTTGTGTGGCCTAAAGATACGTCCTTGGTAGGATGGTGGCAGGGACACCATACCTTCTAGTGTGATGCTTCTGTAAACTTCAGCTTGTGCTGATTTGTACTGATCCCAGACTGGAGGAAAAGAAATAATAATCAAAGTCAGCAAAATCCAGATTTCCATTAGCTGCATCAGGTCGCTCTTCGTTGCTAAGGATGGGATTCTGGGTTCACATACTGGTTTTCAGCAAAAACACGGAGACAGACAGCACGCAATCTCTGTAACAAATTCAATGGTGAACCACATGGTGGACCTTTATGGGTTATAGTTGCTCCATAGTGTGGAATACACAACACAGGACTGATACAACACATACTTGTATCCAATCTTTGCTGGTGAAATGATGTCTACTTCATCACATAGTTGAAACGGTTAAACCAGACTGCTACTAAACATAGACTCAACCATGAGCACAACTGGTATACCATGAGTACAGGAAGATCTGGAGCACCCAAGGACCATCAGAAAAGGTATATGACCAGTTCATGACGGCCATGAGCACAGGTGGACCATGAGCACAGGTGGACCACGAGCACTGGTGAACCGTGAGCACAGGTGGACCATGAGCACAGGTGGACCACAAGCACAGGTGGACCACGAGCGTAGGTGTATATAAATATAAATACTTGATTGGTACAGCTATACCATGAGCACAGGTAGACCATGGTCATAAAACAGAACACAGGTAAACTCTGCTTAGAGCAAGTGTTAGCAAGTATGGGGAACTGGATCCCTGAGCTATGAGTGTCCATGTTCCTGGCACTGAGGGTGTCAGACTGCTCATGGTTCTGATGTGATGTCTATCTCTGAAGCCTCATATTCCTGCTTACTTCTAATTAGCAGCACGTCCTAGGATGTGGCTCTGAGGAGGAAGAAGTCTTCTTGAGGCTCTGTTCACATATCTAGCCAGGGAACCTACCTCTGAGTAGAGAACCTGAATCCATGGCCTGAGACTTTTTGCCCCAGGACCCTATAACTGCATATGATTGTCACAGCCTCCCCCAAGAACAGAGGCTAAAAAACTTGAATAATAGATATTCCATTAGGTCTCAGGGTCATCATATTATTTCTGGTAACCAACTTAGAAATAAATAAGGTCTCCAAAACCATACATCCAAGAGCCCATAAAGCTCAGAAGGTAGATGCTGGGTTCTCTGTCTTCTCCTCAACATGTCAGAATCCAACAAAACAGCATGATCAGCTGCCCTGCCTGTCTTCTGGAGAAGCCTGTTAGCAGGAAGGAGGCCAGGGTTGCATACATGATGTCAAACCAACATACAAATGGAGAGACATTCACCAAAGAGAAATGATATTTATTAGACAACAACAAGTCATTGCAATGGGAAATCATATGTCTTAGAAAGCTATTAATATAGTCAAGGAAGTTAAGATAAGGGGTAGATTTCAAAGACAAAAGAGAAAAAAATCATAAACTTCTCCATACAAAGTTCATTGGTGTTAGGGATCAAAGGCAAGAGTTGGCAGCAGCTCACTGGCAGAGGTACCCATGCTGGACAGGTGTTTTGTTTAGAATGTCTCAAATGAATTTTTTCAGTCTTAGGGACTATTAGAGATACACTTTGGGTTGGTATGATGGTGCATGCCTTTAACCCTAGAACTGTGGAGGCAGAGGCAGGCAGATCTCTCTCTGTGAATTAGTAGCCAGTCTGGTTTCAAGCTAGCCAGGGTTATATAGTAATACCTTGTCAAAACAATAAAGAATAAACTTTGCTATAGAAATCTATGAATACATTGGAAATGGAAATCATGGCAGAAGAAATATCTCTGGGGTCTTTGGAAAGTACTTAATAAAGTGTTGCCTCAGAGAAACAACCACGAGTGCCCCCCCCCATGTCCCTTCATCACCTTCTGAATCCAATTATTTATTTCTAGGATCTGACTAGAATTTTTTAATCCTTTAATTATTAATTTTCATATTTCTCCCTTTGACCAAGAACATTCTTCAAAGTCATTGTTGACCAATTAACTTGCAACTAACATTGTATCAGTGCTGCTGAGAGGGCCCTGTACTGATTGGCTGGGTGTGTGAACGGGTTGCTTAGCTGTGGAGGAAAAGAGAAGGACAGCTGGAAATTAGTGTCAAGACAATTTCAGTCATAGTTAGCCAACAGGTAGCCAGAAGGTAAAGCTCTCAGGACTGATCCCCGCATTTTATCACTAAGCTTCATCTCGTCAGGTGCTGGCTATCATTTCAAGGCACTGGGACAACTGTCATTTTGTTAGGAGATGAACTTCTAGCCACCCTTGGCAAATTGCAGGTACAATTTTTTAAAGAAGCAATACAAAGTATTGTTAACAATAATACAGCATTTTCAGTGTTCATGTTGTTTTATGGAGAATGGTTTATCAATTTCCTTCCTTCTTCCCTCCCTCCCTCCCTCTCTCTCTCTCTTTTCCTTTCTTTCTTTCTTTCTTTCTTTCTTGTTTTTTTTGACAGGGTTTCTCTGTATAGCCCTGGCTGTCCTGAACCTTGCTCTCTAGCCCAGGCTGGCGTTCAACTGCCTCTGCCTCCCAAGTCCTGGAATCGAAGGTATACACCACCACTGCCTGGCAATTTTTTAGTAAAATAAAATATAATAAGATAAAGCAAATAGAAATAGGACAAAACAATCAACAAGAAAAGGAGTCAAAGGGAAAAACACAAGAAATGCATATAGATGCACACACACACATTTGCACACACAGGAATCCCATAAAAACACAAAACTGAAATCTATAATATATATGCAAAGGACCTTCAATATATGCTGGTCCAGAGCAAATTTACCACTTAACATCCCATAATTTAAAAAGACATCATTTAAAAAGTCCATTTGTGTAATTTTGAGTAAAAACTTGCCTTGGTGATGTTGCCAAAGTTACCCCCTGGATGGACAAAAGGGCTTCTTGGCTCAGATTCTGTCAGATTAGCCAAACTGACTATTGGCTATATATTCCTAATATCATCATTGTTCTCACGAGCAAGGAAAGATTGAAGGATCAGAGTCTTATGATACAGTCTTATTCTGACTTGTTTTTCATCCTCTTTCTGCCATTTCTGCCTTTGTCTGTACTATGAGACCATTTTAAAGACTTTCTATATTTGAAATTTACATCAAGTTATCCAGTTCATAGAGCTTTAGGAAAGAGAAATTATTGACCTTAATAATTGAAAGCTGTATCAAGACATAAGGGAAAACAAAAAGAATTTAGAATCTAGTCTAATCTATAGATTGACA